TTTTGGAATGGACCTTCGGTATTTCGTTTGAATTTATTAACATTCTTTTAATAAATAAAATATACGCAATTTTTTGTGGCCTGTTTTATTTATTAAATAAACACTACAAATGTATTTGCTTAACTTGTCAATTATAGAGACAGACAGTTACAGAAATTGTGTTTGTGTCGCCTAGTATTTTGAAAATAAAGTTTTGAATATAACCAACAAAAAATATGAATTTTTTGGACATATAATGACATTTATGACTTAAAATTAAATAGTTCCGATATAGACCAGGGTCGATAATTTTTGAAACCAAAAAAATAACAGTAGGATTAAACCCATTGCAAAAGGAGAAGAATATAATAAAAATAAAAGGAAAAATAAATTACGGGCGATCTGAGTTCGGGAAGTGGGAGGGGGGGGGTTTTAAGGGTAAAAAATGGTTTATCTCGATTTCCGGCAAAACTACAAGTCCTATGGAAAAAAGTTAAATGGCAAAGTTGTAGGTAATAAAAGGATCTACAACTTTTGTAATTACAATTTTTTTACATAACCTCAAAATTTATGTGAAAAATTCAAAAAACCAAGTTTTTGGTTTTTTATTTTTATCTTTTTCAAAAAAAAATTTTTTTCCACGAAATTTGGTGAAAACTTACCTTTTTATGTCCCAAATACACTGTAATTTATTTGATTTGAAATATTTATTATTTCGCCTTATTTTGACTTAATATCAAAAAAGCACCCTAATTTTCAATCGAAAATTCTCGCGTCAAAATATCAGCTTTTTTCAAAAAGTCGGTGTGCTTTTTGTTCGTTGAAATCTCTACTTTCTGATGGTGTAAAAAAAATATACATTACTATGGTAAATGTTCTCAGAAAATGCAAAAAATATTATAATGAATAACGAAAAAAACTCGAATTCGAAAATTTATTTTAATCATTATGTACAATTTCTTTATGATTTTTGCAATTTTTTTTAGTTAAAAAGTTTACTTATTAAATTCTAATAACATTTATGTCAGAAAATCTCATAAAATATAAAAATACATGTAAATCATACTATTGAATTTAGATACTTCATTCTGATTACGTTATTCATTATAATATTATTTGTATTTTCTGAGAACATTTACCATAGTAATGTATATTTTTTTTTACACCATCAGAAAGTAGAGAGTTCATCGAACAAAAAGCACACCGACTTTTTGAAAAAAGCTGATATTTTGACGCGAGAATTTTCGATTGAAAATTAGGGTGCTTTTTTGATATTAAGTCAAAATAAGGCGAAATAATAAATATTTCAAATCAAATAAATTACAGTATATTTGGGACATAAAAAGGTAAGTTTTCGCCAAATTTCGTGGAAATTTTTTTTTTTTTTTGAAAAAAAAAAATAAAAAACCAAAAACTTGGTTTTTTAAATTTTTCACATAAATTTTGAGGTTATGTGAAAAAATTGTAAATACAAAAGTTGTAGATTTTTTTATTACCTACAACTTTGACATTTAATTTTTTTCCATAGGACTTGTAGTTTTGCCGGAAATCGATCGCCCGAACTCAGATCGCCCGTAATTTATTTTTCCTTTAATTTTTATTATATTCCCCTCCTTTTCCAATGGGTTTCATCCTACTGTATTTTTTTTTCTCTTTTTATCATTTTTAAAGGCTTCTGCAATGGTCTAATATAGCGAGATTTCGATATAACGAATTCCCCTTGCGTCCTCGTTATAGCGGGATTCAACTGTAATAATAAAATAATCACTAATAATCGCTAATCGTTATTGCCAATAATTGGTTTAATAGTTTAGTTATAAATATAATAATAAACTTATTATTGAACTTGTTCAATTCAAAAGCAGACACTTATCCAATATTTGATACTGCCTGCGACCTGGCTTCTAAAAGTTGTTTACCAACTTATGAAGATGTCTTTCGTTGTTTATTAAATAAACTTTATTTACAACACAGCAGATTAAGGAAAATTCAAGCAAGCAACCGCCTGAATGGGAAGTTGCAAAAAGGAGTCCAAATAAATTTATGAAAACCTGATTCACTATTAACCCTGGAGTGGTGGCGCCTCCTGGCAGAACATGAACGGTGGCGCGTAACTTTTATATATATTTTTCTTTTTAGCTATTGTTTCTCTTATTTGGATATATTTTTATTATATGTATACATTAGGGTGCTCCATTTAAAACGAACATTATTTTTTTTTCGCTGACACATGAAAATTTTGTTCCTTTTATCGAAAAAAAAAATTCCCTGAAAATTTTAGCCCTTCATTTTAATTTTAAGTGGTTCCTCTCGATCGATGTATATTTCCCATTTAAATTACGTGTAAATCATGATTTTTTTTAATTTAAATTAATATAGCTCCGTTTGATTTCGTGGTATTTTGGGTCTTCTTACATGGCCATATATAGTTTACAAAAACCAATTTAAAGTCCTTTAGACCAATTTTAACATGAATAAAAGAATAATATTTTGAAAAGTGTAGTTATTCAGAAATTCCTGGACTGGACTATCGGAGAGGCGTTATCAAGTTTTAAACCTCCTGAGTCATCGGCCAGTTGATAACTTAACTACGAATACTAACCGACAGCCACCAATGATATATTTAGAATAAATAATGAGTTGATATAATATGAATACAAATAATAGGTTACAATGGTTAAAGTGGAAGAATTTAATTAAACTAAAGTTATATGAGTAGTTAACATCATATCCTTTAAATATAACATAACAAAACTTTAGTACGACCTAATAGTAGTTGGTTGCCTATGTTAACCAACATTTTCCCAAAAAAATTCCTAAAAGTCCTACCAAAGCCCAAATTTCAAATATAAATACTCCTTCACCAATACTTGTACTGATACTACGCTACGATAAACCCAAAAATCAAAATATCTTCCTTCCTAAGCGCACCTAAATGGAGAATTCCCTCCTGTATTTTTAATAACAACGTCACCCATTAAATAAAACCCAAGGTGATAAAGTTCTAGAACTCTGTGTTGCATTATATCTAGAGCTCTGTGTTGCATTCTATCAAAACAAGGAAATAAATTAAAGAAAACCTGCTTAAAAAGAAAATTAAATACTGTCAATATTTTAACAACGCGTCAATTGTGTTGGTAAAAGGAACTACTAAATAAATCTTTTGGAAAGAGGCAACTAACCAAATAGGTATCCCTATCAAAAAATTTACTTAATAATATAGTTTAAACTAAAATAAACCAACGTAACGGTTAACATCTATATCGTTCTAGACGTAAATAATCTAATAAAATAAAATAAATAGGTAACTGTCAAAATGACGGTTACAATTATAACCGCTACAAATTTTTCATTAACCATACGCAGTCTTAAGCTTTACCGGAACTTAAAGCGACCGGTAGATCTATTGAATATGTACATATTCAATAGATCTACATACATATATTAAGTTTCTTCCGCAGTACCACCTATAGGTGGGTCATTTTCAAGAAACACCCGCTTTCAGGAAAATGAAGATCAAAATTTTTTTTGCTTAAATTGACTTTAGGTTGGATTTTTATAAATGTTTAGAGTTTTGTTAACTTACATTTAAGACAGGCAGTGCACTTTTTAATTTTTTTTACGTTTTTTTCAGAAAAACGTGTTTAGCTAGCTTTATATATCTCCATTGTGTTACCAATTTGAAATCCAAAATTTAATTCAATAAAAAAAGTTGTTATAAAAATAATTTGAAATAAAATGTACTTAGTTCACCAACTTTTGACTCCAATTTTTTATTTTATTTTTTAAAAATTTTATGCTTTTTTTAAATAAGTATGTTAAGTTACGTTTTAAAAGAAACCATTCCGATTCTTCTGTTAAGAAAACACCCTTTTTCTTATAAGCTGGTGAAGGTCCCTTTAAGTGCTTGTATATTGCGTGGAATTTTCCCTTGGATGTAATCTATATCGTGAGTTGTAATCACAAATAATTTTAAATTGGTTTATCATAAACTACTTTTAATAAAAGCGAGGTAAATATCCACTTTGTTGTCGAAAAATTCTATTGCGTTACTCTAAATTCCATTGCGTTACCATAAGGTAACATAGTGGACTCGGTAACGCAGTGTACAAAGTTATGTGAAACCATATTTTAAAAATAATAATAAGACATTACAGTCATTAATTACTCTCAATGAGCTTTGGTGCCCAAAAATAAACATAATCATGAAAAATAGTATTTTTTCTTACCTTATTTTTATTATTTTTTTGAGTAACTTAGCGGACAAACAATTATTACATTCGCGTTACCCGAACCTGTTTCAACCGATATCTTCTTCCTGATTGAATAAATAAATTCAGCTGGGTAATGTGTACGTCCGAACATCATTTGTGGATCACGTGAGTGCCAAAAAAGTTGCCATATATGTTTTTTTAAATATTCTATCGGTAACGCGACGGACGTAACGCAACGGAAAAAATGTCTGGGACATGAATCAAATTTAAAAAAAGTATATTAAAATTAATTATTTTATATACAAATTGTTTACTGTATTAACTAAGGATGTTATGGATTGCTATAAAGCAACACAAAGTTCTGGTTATTCATTATTAAAAAAAAAACCTTTATGTAAGTTTTATAAAACGCTAATGGGACATTCGAAAATGTGTGTTTCACAAGTTTCAAAATTAAAAAAAATATATACTGAAATAACTAAACAAACATTTTCTAAAAGAGTTTACTAAGGGCTTGTTAGGCTTTCACTTGGTTGTTAAATCAATAAGATCCGATAATTTTTAACAAAGTTATTGGAATTCAAACTTACGGACAGCGGAAGGCGGGTGTTTTTTGAAAACGACCCAGGTATATATACATGTATAATATGCTCGTGAACTAAAATAAGTTAGGCTCCAATAAACAGAGCCCACTTTGCCGCGGAGCTCACCTTTACAGCTAATTTTATATGGGCGGATATAAAAAAAATTAATAAATCTAATCCAAATTTAGGAAACTTAGAATACATCATTTTACTTTTTTTTTAGTAAATCGGTAATGTCATGTTGCGAAGACAAAGTATCATCGCATGCCCTAGCAGCTGCAGCTACAAGGGAAGTTAGCTATTTAACGGACGCTGAACGAGCCACTATCCTTGAAGTCCTTGGCAGAGATGAGCAAATTCGAAGAGATCAACAACTTAGGATAATGTAAGTAAACACCTAAATAAAAAAATGTTTCACAATAATAAAAAAACAAAGGTGGTCATTAAATACGCTTAGCGCTTAATTAATATTTATGTTTTTCTACCTCTTCATGTAAGTATATTACAATAAAATTTATTTATAAAAATTGTGTTGGCTGCAAGTTGCAACATTAATTTAAATTTTTAATGCATAATTGATTTAAATAAGGACACTTAGTTAGATTAAACCATTTAGTAGGTATATTATTGCGTCAAAGATTAAATATAAGTAGTATAAAAGTATATTTAATCTTTATTGCGTTGAAAATGTTAGAAATTTTAGAGAATAATATATTAGGTTTTGTAAAGTTAATATGTGTTTGTTTTGTTATTTTGTTCGTTTCAGTGTTTCCTTTGTAAGTATTTATAATATATTTTTTTTACTCCGACCTTTAAAACGCCCATTATCGTACATGTTTCCATGACCTTTTAAATACACATTGACAAGTTGTCACGGGCTGAAGTTTTAAGTTTGTTGACAGTTTTTAAATGTCATACAATCGTTAAAATAAAGTGCCCTTCTTGTAAAATAATATTAAATGTAAAATTTATTTTATTATCTCAACACAAAAATACAAAAACAGTTTCTCAGCGCCAATATTTCAAAAGTTTATATGAACATTTTACTGACCTTTTAATTTCGCCGGCACTAAACTACATTAACTTAATTTCTGAAAAAGACTCCACTGTGCAGTGCCAATAAAACATTTTCTTTACTTTCACTGTAAAAAACTTTTTCTATATCCAATTAAACGGATTATTTTCAAGCGATACATTTTGATTTACACAAAAAAAAATTACATTTGCATAAAACACATTTTCAAATTGGTAATTCTATTGTTTCTTAGATGTCGCTCTATACAAATATTTAATTTAAATCATTTTTAGATAATAAATGTTTGTCGTAAAAAATTATAGTATGTAACTCGTTTAGAAACTTTTCTAGGTATTCATTTAATTAAGCACTCGCTCGCAAGCTCGGTCGTGCCCAAATTAAGTTCGTGTCTAAAATGGCGTTTATCAAACTTGATACATAATATACTATTATCTACTCCCCCATTGATAAACTGTGACTTTATGTCGTTTTAGTCATGGGCTGAAGTTAGCAACAGTGGCTTTTGGAAATTTTAGTCATAGGCTGAGGTTGGCTTTATTATAAATTGGAAAAAAGAGAGGTTAAATACGTTGGCAGTTGACAGATGTCAAATTTTTAACAAATAAAATTGGCTTTAAATTCTTCTTTGTATTCGTCGTATATGGGACAAAATTCAGTAATGGGAGAAAACATGTCTCTAGCTCCAAAAAAAAACTTAAATATAAAGTTTTTGTTCAATTTACCTAATGAAATGTCTTCAATATTAACTGTTTTTAATATTCAGTTACTAATAGCTTCTATAAATATGGTGTGTTTTAAAAATCTGATATACATATTAACCCAAAATACGTAACCCCTTGTCTCCCGCCGCCTTTTTTGACATACAATCCATATTTGTATGTAGATTACCTTAATTGATCTTTGCAAAATATTTTTTAGTTAATATAAGAACTATTAACTTACGTTATAAGACTTATTTACTTGAAAAGTCTTATACTGGTCTTAATAAAAAAAATAATATCATCCCAATTTAAATCAAGCGCTTCTTATATTAGTAAAATGTGACACCGCTAAATGGCCGCGGTCGTGGTACGTTAAAAATATTGGTAGAAGAAGTGTTTCCCGAGGTGTTTACCTTATGTATTAAGAGCGGTAACTTACCGCCGGTAAGAACTTATAATTGTAAATATTAATTTAATAAATTTAGTGAGTTCGATTTTATCCTTCAACGGATGTACAATGTACATTGTACATCGCTCCATGAAAAAGTCGGAAAATAGTTGACTTTGACCCAGGAAGGATAAAATGGGGTTCCCGGTATAGAAATATACCGGTATTTCTCGACAATATCGCAAGCTTTGACCTTTCAGAGAGGTATTTTGTGATTTGTGCAATCGTTTTAGTGGATGTTTCAAGATTTGAAATTCCACATGTCCGTGAGTGGATGGCTTCGAGAAGCTCAAGGACGTAAAAACTTTTAACTGGTCAGTAAGAGCCTAACTGGCTCAAGTCCAATTCTCTCGAAAGACAGAATAAAAAGTATAGAAGAAGAAGAATAAATTTAGTTTAAGCCTGATATTTTAAAGCGTACTTTTTTAATAAATAACGCTAGTCCCTAATGATATCTTAATTGTTTTTAATTATATCCTTGACTAAACATTTTAGATTTTTACAATGACATATATGATACATAACCCCAAATTTTGGTAAACTGATCTCAGAGACCTTGTGTCTAAACGCAACGAAGCGTCGCGACTGTAACGACGGTCCTCATGAAAAGGAACCGTTGTTGCTAACATAGGGAACGTTGTTACATATTGCAAATGCTCATCTCCTCACCCGTTTTCCAAAAGAAATTTTGTAATCAAAGAAAAAGATAGATTGCATACCAAACATTTACGATAATCTAGATTTATATTTTTTTGTTAACGAGCTATTTTTTTAATAAATAACTTTCCATTTAATTTTTTTACCTTTCTAAATCACAAATCATTATTTTATTATTATTATTATTATTATAGTACGCCGCGTCGTTAAGTCGCGACGGTTTCTTTGCTAAGAACAACGACCCTTATAAATAATAACGAAGGTCCCTCTAATAATAATAAAATTGTTGCTAATCAAATGTATATACAACCACCCTGCCACCATTGTTCGTTCTAGTGTCTTTTGGGTGCAATTTTACAGTGACTATTTCCCTCGTCTTAATTTCCACCAATCACAAACGCGCAATTTTGAATTACAAAATTACAAAAGGTTTCTAGGTGAAAAAACTGTGTGACAGCACCTGTCAGCAGTTTATTCGAGTTTACCTGCGGCAAAACTTGACAGCTGTTGTCACCAAAAATTGCAATTTATATTTTAATTGTTAACTGTTACTCATGAAATAGTCTTGTTCGGGAATCTAATTTTCCCTGTGAAAAAAATCGAAAAAACACAATGCTAAGTAATATTTTTTAACAAAAAGCATTCGTGCAGGTGCAAAAATCCTCCTCTTCGACTCGGATTTTTGTTGCCACCAGCACTTATGCTTTTTGTTAAAATATCACTTAGCAACGTGTTTTTTCGATTCTTTTCGGAAAAATTAAATGCCCTTATGATATTACTTACGACTATTTCCCTCGTCTTAATTACAAATGGTTTCTAGGTAAAAAAAAACTGTGTGACGGCATCTGTCAGCAGTTTTTTCGAGTTTTTCCGCGGCAAAACTTGACAGCTGTAGTCACCAAAAATTGCAATTTATAGTTTAATTGTTACTCATGAAATAGTCTTGTCAAATACCATTCGTGCATCTTATTTTTCCTGTGAAAAAAATCAAAAAAACACAATGCTAAGTAATATTTTTTAACAAAATGCATTCGTGCAGGTGCAAAAATCCTCCTCTTCGACTCGGATTTTTGTTGCCACCAGCACTCATGATTCTTGTTAAAATATTACTTAGCAACGTGTTTTTTCGATTTTTTTCGGAAAAATTAGATGTCCTTATGATATTACTTACGAAATAACTTGGTAAATGTTATGTTTAATATTATTGTTTTGTAATAATAAGCGAAGCGAACGCGAGAAAATATTACTATAGTAATATTTTCTCGCGTTACCATGCTTGTGACATGTTTATTACCTACATGCAAAAACGTTTTAAAAGTGTTTTATTATTAAATTTAATAGCAATGGAATCGTTATTAGACAAATGGGGATTTGCCAACCTAATTGATGTTTTTAAAGGTAGGTTTATTTAATTGTAATAATATTTTACCATAAAATAAACTTTATTGTAGGACAAGATATATCGATTTTGAAAAGCTTTTAAATATAAACGCCAAAATTTTAAAAGACTTCCAAAAGCAGGTCCTCGAACAAGATTTTTAAAGAAAAAAGAGGAATACAATAAAACTATTATGTATTTAAGTAGTGTATATTAGGGTGGAGTGAATTTTTTTAAATTTATTAATTGATTTTTCCTATATTATTAATTGTTGACTAAAGGCGTAAAATGAATAAATATCGAAAAAATATTCCAATTTTTTAATATCTTGAGGTGGCGCATCTGTCTCGAAGTTTTGAAAATTCTAAAAAAATATTACTTTAATCAAAGTAATAAAAATAGCATTATTTATAAATAAAAAGTTTATTTTAGTAAAATTAACGTGAAACGTAAACATATTTAATAGTAAATCATATGCTTTAAGTAACTTCAGGAGTGTTTATTGGTAGAAATGAGATCTCCTTTTTCGCGAAAATACTGACATTTGGTATCAAAATTTGGTAATTATTTTCTGACTTTAATTCTTGTTCTGATGAAACCATTTCTTGCTTCCGATCCACAAACCGAGACTGAAGATTCAGTATACTGGTTATAACCAGTTTTACACAGCGTTCCACTGCTTGGGTGTGACACTGAAATTTTTGGAAGTATAGGAAATGGTCACCCGAAGAAATCATATCGGTAATTTCTGTCATCGTATTTCATAGTCATAGGTGGTTCAGTCACCTTTTCTGTCGCCCAGTGAATTAACTGATACAAACGTAATGCTTTAGTATTTAGTTGTGGAAGCTTTAATTCCCGTAATCTCGAACATTTTGATTCTTTTCTCGCCTTTAATATTTTCGGCAATGCTAGTTCTCTGATCGATAGATATATTGTAGGTAACATAGCAAGTAATAGGTTTTCGGGATAAATATTTCGCTGAATATTCTTTATAAGGCCTTCAAGTTTTTCTGGAGGTGTAATGCTCTTTTAGTCATATTAAATAATATTTCATATTCACATATTTAATAAATATGTGAATAGGACCATGTTTGCACGTAGGCTTGGTGTTGATGTAAAACCACGTTGGGGCATACACTTTCATGATAAAAGTAGCCAATTC